AAAGAAACAACACGTCAGGTCCTACATTACTACCACCCAGGCCCTGGTTTAGTTCTTTAAAAAAGAGCAAGGGGAAGTGGGAACTTATTCTTGCAACAACTCCACCATGGAAGACTTTGTAGGAAACATCTTTACAAATCAATATTTAACCAATGGACACTAGCATTATGTTACGTAGTGAAGAATATTAATAGAAAATCAATGCACCATCTGCAAACAGTAAGTAACTATCCTGATTTCTATCCACTGTCTGAGAGGGGGCCACTCTTGGCTGGTTGTGTAGACAATGATTCATCAGCAACCCATCTTCCTACAACTTTTCAAATTAGGTACAGACTAAAGAGCAACACCACTTATTCACTGTGCTGGATATGTATTCAGATTGAATGAAAATAGGAAAGCTCTAAACTTATGATGTCTGAATATTAAATTGTTGTCTAGACTCATCATACATTATACATCATCAACTGGTAAATGTTAATAAGGTTGCAGACAGCCATTAACTGTGAATGACGAGAAGTGTACAGATGGAGCAGCTCATCATGCTCATATCCACATTATCAAAATAAGAGTGTGTGCCAGCTGGTTATAACTAGAGGTGTGACGATACAGAAATTTCACGATACGATATGTATCGCAATAGCTTGGCATCATACGATACAATTCGATGCATATCATGATATAGTAATTTTCTTTAAAAAAGCATATTTTAATAGCAAGTACCAGTGTCAATTTTGACATAACCGTCAATTTCTGGTGAAAATTAACAACTTTAAGGTCAAGGATACATATCACGATACGAAAAAAAGTATCGATATATTTATCGTCAGATAAAGTATCACAATAATCGATAGTACAATATATCGTCACAGCTCTAGGTATAACACTGTTGATCAGTCTTCAAGATATATAAAGTACACCAAGACACAGCTGAACACATGTGGGCAATCGGACACAGGGCAAACTGAGACAGGCAGGTGTACCAAGACAGGGCTGAACACATGTGGGCAATCGGACACAGGGCAAACTGAGACAGGCACGTGTACCAAGACACAGCTGAACACATGTGGGCAATCGGACACAGGGCAAACTGAGACAGGCACGTGTACCAAGACAGGGCTGAACACATGTGGGCAATTGGACACAGGGCAAACTGAGACAGGCACGTGAACCAAGACAGGGCAATCGGACACAGGGCAAACTGAGACAGGCAGGTGTACCAAGACAGGGCTGAACACATGTGGGCAATCGGACACAGGGCAAAGACAGAGTCAGGCAGGCACATGTACCAAGACAGGGCTGAACACATGTGGGCAATCGGACACAGGGCAAACTGAGACAGGCAGGTGTACCAAGACAGGGCTGAACACATGTGGGCAATCGGACACAGGGCAAACTGAGACAGGCACGTGTACCAAGACAGGGCTGAACACATGTGGGCAGACACAGGGCAATCAGACACAGGTCAAACTGAGACAGGCAGGTGTACCAAGACAGGGCTGAACACATGTGGGCAATCAGGCAATCGGACACAGGGCAAACAGTGAGATAGGCACATGTAACAAGACAGGGCTGAACACATGTGGGCAATCGGACACAGGGCAAACTGAGACAGGCAGGTGTACCAAGACAGGGCTGAACACATGTGGGCAATCGGACACAGGGCAAACTGAGACAGGCAGGTGTACCAAGACAGGGCTGAACACATGTGGGCAATCGGACACAGGGCAATCAGACACAGGGCAAACTGAGACAGGCACGTGTACCAAGACAGGGCTGAACACATGTGGGCAATCAGACACAGGGCAAACTGAGACAGGCAGGTGTACCAAGACAGGGCTGAGACACATGTGGGCAATGTGGGGCAATCAGACACAGGGCAAACTGAGACAGGCACGTGTACCAAGACAGGGCTGAACACATGTGGGCAATCGGACACAGGGCAATCACACAGGTCAAACTGAGACAGGCAGTGTACCAAGACAGGGCTGAACACATGTGGGCAATCGGACACAGGGCAATCAGACACAGGTCAAACTGAGACAGGCACGTGTACCAAGACAGGGCTGAACACATGTGGGCAATCGGACACAGGGCAATCAGACACAGGGCAAACTGAGACAGGCACGTGTACCAAGACAGGGCTGAACACATGTGGGCAATCAGACACAGGACAATCGGACACAGGGCAAACTGAGACAGGCACGTGTACCAAGACAGGGCTGAACACATGTGGGCAATCGGACACAGGGCAAACTGAGACAGGCACGTGTACCAAGACAGGGCTGAACACATGTGGGCAATCGGACACAGGGCAAACTGAGTCAGGCAGGTGTACCAAGACAGGCTGAACATATGTAGGCAATCGGACACAGGGCAAACTGAGACAGGCACGTGTACCAAGACAGGGCTGAACACACGTGGGCAATCGGACACAAAACCTCAACACACATCCAACAAAACCACCTCAACACACATCCAACAAATCTGCACAAAATACCCCGAACACATCAACCCCAATACTTCTAACAGCACTCCCACCCACCCACTTTATCCGGACACCTAAAATTCCTCCCATCCCATGACTTGCACTTCAACCAGCCTCCCACGCAACATACTGAAGATCCAAAATCCTACTCAGCAGTGGAAATTTACTGTCAGTATTTCAAGAGTTGTGTCCCTTCAACCACTGCTTCCTGCACTTTCAACAACACATCCCTTGATTAATCATGCTAATATAGCTCCATTCTTGACAAAACATTCATGTAAAAAATTTGCTTTCTTATAAAGCCAAGAAAAGAGTCAAATGAATGTGACCCAAGAAGAAACAAGGCTCTTTGAAGACATAATTCAATCACAGCTGCAGGCACTGAAGATTAAATGTTGTTCAATGGTCGAAAAGCTCTTGAGGCAACAATCCTATTTTTTATGATTAAAGCTAAATGTCAAAGAGCAAAATCAACACAAGTTTAGATAATTCAGCTGTTAACAGACAACATCAAACTCATAAGGAAATGAAAGGGATTTAGGAAGTGCTTCAAGCTGTCTTTGTGTTCTTACACAGTCTGAAATGACAAACACAGGAGTACCCTGACCGGACAGTGAAAATGCTAAATCAGACCACATATAGATACACACTTCATGACACCCATGTACTCAGCCCACACAATAAGGACAGTGACAACACTAAATCAGACCACACATAGATACACAGTACATGACACCCATGTACTCAGCACAGTACATGACACCCATAAGGACAGTGACAACACTAAATCAGACCACACATAGATACAACACTAGTACACTTCATGACACCACTCAGCCCAGACCACTAAATACACACTTCATGACACCCATGTACTCAGCCCACACAATAAGGACAGTGACAACACTAAATCAGACCACACATAGATACACAGTACATGACACCCATGTACTCAGCCCACACAATAAGGACAGTGACAACACTAAATCAGACCACACATAGATACACAGTACATGACACCCATGTACTCAGCCCACACAATAAGGACAGTGACAACACTAAATCAGACCACACATAGATACACAGTACATGACACCCATGTACTCAGCCCACACAATAAGGACAGTGACAACACTAAATCAGACCACACATAGATACACAGTACATGACACCCATGTACTCAGCCCACACAATAAGGACAGTGACAACACTAAATCAGACCACACATAGATACACAGTACACAGTACATGACACCCATGTACTCAGCCCACACAATAAGGACAGTGACAACACTAAATCAGACCACATATAGATACACACTTCATGACACCCATGTACTCAGCCCACACAATAAGGACAGTGACAACACTAAATCAGACCACACATAGATACACAGCACATGACACCCATAGATACACTCATGACACCACATGACACCCATGTACTTTCCCACCACAATAATAAGGACCCACTACAGATAGAGGACACCCATGTACCCCACACAATAAGTGACAACACAATAAGGACAGTGACAACACTAAATCAGACCACATATGATACACTAAATCAGACCACACATAGATACACAGACATGACACCCATGTACTCATGGACAGTGACAATGCTAAATCAGACCACACATAGATACACGGTACATGACACCCTGTGTACTATTACCACAATAAGGACAGTGACAACACTAAATCAGACCACACATAGATAGTACACAGTGACACCCATGTACTCAGCCCACACCCAATAAGGACAGTGACAACACTAAATCAGACCACACATAGATACACAGTACATGACACCCATGTACTCAGCCCACACAATAAGGACAGTGACAACACTAAATCAGACCACACATAGATACACAGTACATGACACCCATGTACTCAGCCCACACAATAAGGACAGTGACAACACTAAATCAGACCACACAGTATAGATACACACTTCATGACACACAGTACATGACACCCATGTACTCAGCCCACACAATAACGACAGTGACAACACTAAATCAGACCACACATAGATACACAGTACATGACACCCATGTACTCAGCCCACACAATAAGGACAGTGACAACACTAAATCAGACCACACATAGATACACAGTACATGACACCCATGTACTCAGCCCACACAATAAGAATGAACAACTTTAAAAAGAATATTACCGGAACAGAATGGGTTGCATGAGACTGAAGGGATGTGGTGAGAGAAAAGATGTGTGGAACAGAAAGGTTACGAGTCCAGCTGGGGTTGTTGAGGAAGATATGAGGAACACATGGCGTTCATGAAGAGACCGGGGATACGACAGGAATGTATGAGTATCGTATGAGTATCGTATGAGTGTGCTTGTCATGAAACAAGAGGAATGTAGATCACTGATGGAATATTCCTCCATAGTCGTCAACAATATGTTAATTTGGGTATTCAAAAACGTCTTGTTATCTCAATGTATGTCTAAAAATTGTGGTTTCACTGAACGTCAAACTTACAGCCACATGTAGAAGTTTCCTGATGGCCTGGTTGTTTCCCGATCCACAGTACGCCATGGCAATAGTGTTCATCCCTGACCACCGCAGAATGGGGTCCTTGTCCCGAGTGAGACTCTCGATCAGGGCGTCCGCCTCCTCCAGGCGGCCATACATGGTCAGGGAGATTCCTACAGCCAGACCTCGCAGGATCTTTTCATGCTGAGTTTCCTGGGCATACTGGAAAAAAGGGTTCCAAATAAAACATCACAAAATTCAAAGCATATTGATGACTGTCTTCTTGATCTCAATCTCCCTATTACGAGAATGAAGACAACATGAATTTGGATATTCATGATATTAATACACTTAATGACTTATCTAACACAACTCATTGCTCTTCCATTCTTCATTTCAATCATATAACACATATAATCTGCCTTTTCCACCAGTTGCCCATCAGGAGTTATTTGCCCTTCATCCCTTCAGTATCCTTCACATTGCCCTGGGATAGACATGTGCTTGCTGTTTGGGATATCAGTACCGAAACATTGAACATATTCTACTGTGTCAATCAATGAAACTTCAGTCTACCCTCCTTAGGTTTTAATACATGCAGTGAAGTTTTAATTCACATTGCATGATATTTGTAATGAGTTCCACATGTCTGCCATAGGAAAATCTTCCCAACAAAACCTTTGTATATTCATCATGTTCAAGCCTAGTCTTTTCCATTGTGAGATGTTTATATAGATATGCTCATAAATTGATATTAAATAGTTTATAACATATTCCTAGTCTTTCACATGATGGCATGGGGATGTGAACTCATTTGATTTTCTTGACACTGACTGTCCAAAGAGCAAGGGATCTGACTGGTGTTTACCTTCATGTTGGTACAATGTGACACATAGTTTCAAGCAGGATACCACCAATGTCTGAGATAAGAGGCAGAGGAAGGCTGAACAGGCTTTAAGGGAGAGAGGTCAATGACTCTAATAAATATTGTTAGTTTTTCAACAAATCTCTACTGAATGTGGTCAAAATCATTCTGTGCTCAAGTTAATGTTGTAAGGATTAGCCAGCATAATTCAGTACGGATAGTAAACAATCCTCGCATTACAGGTTTTCAGACACTGAAGAAACATTTGTTGTCTTCTCTCAAACCAGAACCCACTAACTTATAAAAGACAACTTTATGACAAAGACATGCAATCATCTGAGTATTTACAATGGCTGCATGACGCAACACATCTCAGTACAGCTAGAGTAAACACTGACATCACAAAACATGTCGTCTGCAAAAACATAAAAGAACAATCTTCCTGGACCCAAGAACTAAGTTCATTATTGATTTGATTTGATTTGATTAAACTCAGTCCCTAGGAAACAAGAGCTCCTTGAAAACCTTCAGCTGCCTGAGTCACCAGTGAAGTAACAACTATGTTGTATCAGGATAATTACAAACTGATTAAAGTGAATACAATAAGTAATAAGCTGCAACCAGAACCTTAACTCAATCATATTGGCCATCTAATCCCAAAACAGACATTTCTTACCGTGCATGGATAATGTTCAAACCTAAAGGATCAAGTTGAGATGACACTAGAATACCACTGAAAGAGTTTTGTACAGAGTGAATGTTGTCTTACCCCACACTGAATATAATTATCTATCCTGACCCAGAATCCCAACTGGGTACAATTATGATATTATGATCTAAAGATTATGTGTGGAAGATCTTGAAGACATCACTGAACAATGTATATATCTGTGACTACTTACAGCGACCATATCCTCGATGGCTGTGGCCGACTTAGTTCCCAGCATCACCAGCCCCATAGCCAAGCCAGCTGCTTCTCCTGCAAAATAACACCATCATACTAAGTCACATGTACCGTATATGACCGTCTATAAGACGACCCCATGGATAAGACGACCCCCAAACTTGACCCTCAAAATCAGTGTCAAAATCATATCTCTCATAGATAGGCCGCCCCCTCTCGATGGGTCGCGGCCAACAGAGACCAGACTGTGTACCGTAAGTATGTTGCATCAACGACGAGACGCCATTACGAGAATATTACATAATAAAGATTACCTGTGTATTGTGGAAACCTGTGTTTGTTTTCCTTTTTATATCCCAACGATCACTGCTTGCATCAACAACAAGACGCCATTTTGTGAAATCGGTGAGTATAGAAATGTGAACCCAAGAGAAAAAGTACCATCGGTAAATAAAAACTGAAGTCAATTTTTGATTCAAAACATATTATTTAAGTGTCCATATTTCATGAAGCATGTATCTATATATATATAACAATAAGAAAAATAGTCCATTCACATTTCTGCAAGAGAGTTCTGACATTTTCTTTACAAGTCATCGGACGTAAACCCTTCGAATTCAGTGTCACTGTCCTCGCCAGCCAGTTCCATCCATGCTAACTTCGTTGGTTCTATCATCATAATAATCTTCAAGATTGTCACACACAAGCACATCTTCGTCTTCCTTTCTGTTTTCGGGCGTTAGAAATTCCTCGAACAAGGCATCGTCTTCAGATCCGTCCATCGCATTTGAAATTCCACATTTCAAGAATGAATTCTTGACCATGATTGTTGGAATTTCGTGCCACGAGTCCCTGACCCATCTCGCAACTTCACTAAGTGGAGCCTTCCTCATGGCGTTGGATTTCGTGAAAGTGTGTTCACTGTTAATCATCCAATCAGACCACTTTTCCCTGACGTTCACCTTGAATGGCTTGTTAAGGGAAACATCCAGTGGCTGAAGTAGAGATGTGCAGCCACCCGGAATAACTGCCTGGTGTGTCTTCTTTTCCACCAACCTTTTCTTCACAGACTGACACAAATGGGCCCTAAACATATCCCAAACAAGTAGTGAGTTGCAGCCTCTCAATCCACCTGGTCTCGCAGACCACACATCCTCTACCCATCTGTTCACGAGAGTCTCGTCCATCCATCCCTTGGGATGAACTGCAACTACAACACCTGTAGGAAACTTTTCCTTCGGCATTGTCTTACACTTAAAGACAATCATCGGTTTTAACTTTGTTCCATCTGTCATACAGGTAAGTACGACTGTGAAGTGTTGCTTCTCGTTCCCTGTTGTTTTAACTGACACTGTCTTTATCCCTTTAATGTCGACGGTCTTTGATCCAGGCATATCAAAGCTTAGTGGTGTTTAGTCCATGTTACCTATCTGTGACAGATCATAGTTGATAGCTTTTCTTTCCTTGATAACAAATGCTTGAAATAAGTCCACTTTAGTGCTGACAGTTTCTGGGCAGTCCGGCAGTTTCTGGGCAATATGTGTCCTGTCCCTTAAGACCAGATTCCTTCTCTCCATGAATCGCGTCCTAAGGGCAGCCCCTTCTTCGCCTTGTATATTGCCAGTGCTCGGTGATGAATCATGTTCCTAGTCACAATGAAACCGGCTTGCCTCTTTTCATGCCTCATAGATAAGACGACCCCCTTCTACAGACATCTTTTTGGGGTCCTCAAAATTTGTCTTATAGACGGTCATATACGGTACAGATGCTACCCAGCAAAAGTTTAGACTCACTTAAAGCACTCTCACTATATGTTATGTAAATATATGTGGTTACATCGAAGATGAATTTCTCCAATAACTTGGGGGAACCAACTGCAAACCTTATGCAGATGAATTGCACGAGTATCATACATCAAATTGTGGAAAGCATATGCAAATATAGTGCATGTGAACAGCTGTGTTTTGGTGTCAAGTTTTGTTAAGAATTCGCCAATTTTCAATGAGTTTCATAATTTATTGAACTCATGACAATAATCTTTTCAAAGTTACAGAATGATTTTTACAGTACATCAGTTCATGTGCAAACAATATCTTTAAACAGTATGAAATATTTTGCAAAATCTAGTTTAGAACAGTTGACTGAAGTAAGTGGCTACATTAACACTAGTGAGTCTAAACTTATGATGGGTAATATATAACAGTATGTAATTTATATCAAGCATAATGTAAATATTATATGTATTCTTCATTCCTCCAAAGGAGAGTTACAAGAGTAATATAATACAACAACTTTACATTAAACAGCATGCAAAATTATGATTACATGAAGATTTCGAAATGGTGATAATATTCTCTTTCAAGGTCAGTTATTCTTTAATTGATGTAGGCCTTTTACTGCCACTTCAGTAAATGTGTGTTCAATGTCCGGCTTTGGGTAGATTATTTGGTGGAGTACTGTAATGTAGTTATGTAAGTTAGCATGTGGTTCTCTTTATCATCAGCTACAGGGTCCAGCCATGGATGGCCAGTGATTGTTTCTATTGTTTCTGTAGCATGTAATCAGATCTCAAATCTTGTATACTTCATCCTCTCTCTTTCTCTAGTCCTGTCACAATATGGCTGAAATATTGCTGATGTGACAATAAATCTCAACTCACTCACTCTCTGGTCACTGGTTTATCTCAACTCTGCATTAATATCACAGCACTGAACTATCGGGGTAAGTTAATGTAGATTTCTTTTGTACTCCTATTTATCATAAAGATGTTAGGATGTGGTGTTAGTCTAGTTAACTAGGTGTTCATCATGCTACATGTTTATCTGTCATATAGAACATTTTGAAATATCATCCACATGTAATAATTAAGAAATACAGTTCGCTCTACCACCATGTATAGTGTAATAAAGCACACTTTCACCCTGAACTATTATAGTTAAAGTACGAGGACGCTTGCGTCCGAGTGCTTTAACGTTATAATAGTTCAGTTTTACTGGAGGGGGGAGGGGGGAGAGACTAGAATGGCATTACATTGTGACGTAATGCAAAAAAGTGCACATTATCGTCTGATAAAGTACTGTCTGCGCCTTTGATCTTTCACCCGAAGCATCTTAGATTATACTATATAGTCTTGTAGGAGTTAGTAACTTATATGGGCAGACATTTTAAAGTTCTATAAACAGAGTTGGCAAATGTGGACTCAAGTAGTGAATAAATTAGGTTCATATTTCTCTTTGTGTGAGATTTATAGTCACTTCAGCAGTGAATACATGACACATTTTATGGATAACAACTTTTTTATTCTTTCCACAATGTTTCAGAGCTAATTTTTGCTCTTTCATCAAGTTTTAACAGTCAGCAATAACACACAACATCTGTACTTCTGAACTCTCTAATTGCCCCATGCCAAGAAGCCCAATGGACTGATTGGCCAAGCTAACCCCTATTGTTATACTGCATGTTCACCCTCAAATCTATCAGCACATGACAGAACTATTCAGTGAAGGCACAAGTTGGAATAAAAACAAAGTAAGTTACATATATCCTGTCTATATATTGTATTGCATTGAAATTATACAGTATGTTTGCATGTCTCTTGGAGTAAATTAAATGTATGTAATATAAGACTAAAATAGGTTATGACTGATTAATTAAATATTTACAAAGATCACTAAATATTCTGTCACTGCAAGTAAATGTATGGATGTGTGCATGCATTGTTTTTATTCCTGGAATGTTTAATTGAGTTTTGTAGATAGATGTGTAACATACAAATGTAGATAATGCATGCAAATCTTTGTGAATATTATATGTGCATTGTTGTACTATATTTAGTCTACATGGTCTGTGTATTCTATAAATTTGTGTCTTTCATATCCATATGAAAGGCAGTCTCTGCACAATTAAAGCAAGTGTTTGCTGACATTGTACTGGAAGGCAATCACTATACTGCTACAGTATGTATACGAGGGGTGTTAAAAAAGTAGTCAGCCTAACTACTAGTATATTCTCAATGTCCAATGTTTGAAAAGCTTCCATTTTATTTTAAAGGAATCATAAGCAAAGCCATATCCAAAATTTCACATATGTGGGTAATGTGGTTAACGAGATATTTGTCATCACAACACATTGGGGTATAATATTTCTTAAAAAATTGCAGAAAATGAAAAACAATCTGTCATTTTCCTTTGAGAGGAATTTTAGAAGTTGTGAAGATGAAGGAAAACTAGTTCTATGGATTGCAATAAAGAAGTTGACCATCCATAGAACTTAGTTTTCCTTAATCTGTCATTTGGTACCTCTTGGATAATGGTATGCCTTCAGATAATATCATATAGAATATGTTCAGTATAATATTGGATGACTTCCCATCATAATCAACATTCAAAGATTTGGACTGTTTGTTGCATTTAGATGGGGGCTGTTTTTTTAAGGACAAGCCCTTTTTAATCTTTGAAAAACATTGTGTCCAGATATTCAAGCTGGCACTGTTTACAATATATTGTGAGCTGACACTTGTATGACCATTTGGTATTTAGTTTGAACCCTTGGCATCATGTATGAATGCCAAACTTGTGAAAATATTAGAATAAGTTATGTCCTTATGATTACGTCATCTGAAGCAGGGTGGGTAGTGTCTCCAAAATGCTTTTTCAGAAAACATGAATGGGGAAGTCACTTTAACAAGTGATTGTAGTTTCAAATTGTTTTATTATGCTCTTTAATGTATAAGTTTGATTCTAGCGGACTTCTACCTATCTCAAATACAAATAATGTTTCTTGCATATTTTGGTTCCTGAAGTTTGTGATGCATTTATTGCAGATTTTGTGTTTTTTGGATAAAACGTCAAACAAAATGGGGATCATAGCAAAACCAATTTGCTTGAGGCTGACATAAAAACAGCTGCATTTCTAAAATTTTCTAGATGAGATCGACTACTTTTTGAATGCCCCTTGTTTATAAACCTCAGTTCAAATTTATCTTGTGCTAAAATACTAGAGAATAAAACTTCCACCACTGACCTGTGACAGCGTCATCCTGGTACAAATTGAACTTCAGCTGTTCATATATGTCTGAAACAAAATATTCAGGTAGAAATACATGTTGACCAGGCTGAATATCACATGAATCATAAAAAGCAATCCAGACAAGAACGATTCAGCGAAACCAGCACATGTTCAGAGGACTCAAGATACTAAAACAGTGGTCGGAATTCTTTTGAACAGAAAATAATACATTACAATTCATTTTCATGGAACTGACATCTATAGTTTTATTATTTTGTATACAAACTTTAAATCTTGACCAAAAAATAATGTGATGTTTGCTGTATCATTACATGTGATGACATGAGCACACTGTAGGCTGCAGATTAACTCAACAAACTTCATAGGCACATCCAGGACTATGACTAAGTGGTGTAAAATAGTAACTAAGTCACAAAGTGGTATTGTGACTTGTACATTGCACAGGTAACATGTCATGTGTCTGTGGAACTGTGATTGTAATATACATGAAACCATCAGTGCACAGGTAACATGCACAGGTAACATGTCATGTGTCTGTGGAACTGTGATTGTAATATACATGAAACCATCAGTGCAGACAGAGGGTGTGAGTGATGTACCTTGTCTGGCTGTCCCCATGGCTGCAAGACCCACTCCTAAACACCCTCCATGACGGACCATCTGCAAACACAAACATCCTTCATGGTCTGGCAAGTATTGGCAACAAAAATGACAATGAGAACTTAGCAAACTACTCATATAACAAACTGACAAATATAGCAAAAAATTTTTTTGTCCTAGCAGCTAGTAGTCAATTCTGGACCACACAATCCAGTGAAAGAAAACAAGAAATCATGATCAAGAATCAACACCATCACCTAAAGGAAGTCACTGGAATGAGTGAGTGAGTTTAGTTTAATATTACACTTGGCAATATTCCAGTTATATGGTGGTGGTCTGTAAATAATCAAGTCTGGACCAGACAATCCAGTAATCAACAACATGAGCATCGATCTATTGTAATAGGGATACGATGACATGGTGTCGACCAAGTCAGTGAGTCTGACCACCCGATTTGGTTAGTCGCTTCTTACAGCAAGCATGGGTTACTGAAGATCAAGTCTAACCTGGATCTTCACAGGTCCAGTCACTGGAAATATAACTATTCCAAGTAAGACCTTGACCAGACACTATGAGCAACAATACTGGCTTCACACAAACAGCTGAGATTGCTTCCCATTAGCTATTGAGTGAGTGAGTGTGTTTAGCTTTACGCCGCTTTTAGTACTATTCCAGCAATATCATGGCGGGGGACACCATGAATGGGCTTCACACATTGTACCCATGTGGGGAATCGAACCATCAGCTATTGTGCCTGCAGATTCCCAGTCTAGTGAACTAATGAGATAACCAAGTTATTCTGCACTCCTTGGTTTCCATGGTGATGGACTTACATCTGTAGAAGCATCTTTCAACTGGTTGAGAAGGTAGTCTGTTATTTCCCCTCCATGGTTGGCGTGTATGAGACCTGTGGCAGAATTCAAGCATATGTTAGAGACCATGCCAGCTCATTAATCAGTTCAAACAGTATCAAATCATAAATACACTGTTTCTATTCTAGTCATATAAATTCAAAAAAATGTTTTAATTTACTTCACTCAACAAACTTCCATCTATTTCATAGATAGCTGTCCGACAGGGCAAACCAGTTGATAGCCAGTGAGTGTGTACATAATTCAGCCATATCATCAACTTTCAGATTAATTTTGGAAGAAATCTTGAAATGATGCAGGTCTTGGACATTCCCTACTTCAGCGAGAGTATACAAGCCAAGAGTAATAATCATTACTGGACTGTCATTTCTGTCAGCTCTCACTACAACCAGACTGACTCACCTAAAGCAAAGAGCCCTCCCCCTTCTGAGTAGGACGAGCCGGGACTGGTGTCTTTGGGTAAGTAGGAGGACATCAGTTGCAGAGCTTCTTTCTCATGTCCCTGGGGATTTGGAAACAGTCTAGTATCATACACTTCCTCAATCAATGACACATCATGGGGACAGCCAATACAGTTTATAATAAGTGGAATCGGGTAACATCAATACTTCAACATTTGGCTCACAGCTTGTCTTTAAAGTCCATAGATTGACAATGTTCAACAAACTTTGAAATTAGTAAAGATGCAGACAAATTGCCACTGATACAGAGCTGTTCTATCACTGGTGATCGCCATGTGTTAAATATGTGTCCTGCGTCACCAAAAGAAATTTATGTGAAGAGCAAAAACATTTCGACAGTCCAAGAAATGGTCAAGGAGCATCTTAATGGTTTAGGTACCAGAAACGGCTCCTGAAGCTTGTCAAGCAGCAATTCAGGAATGTGACCAGTTTTGAGATGTATAAACTGTTGTCTGTATGCGCCAAACTAAAAAGATAAATTTTCTCACTTACCTTGTGAATGACACCCAAACTAGCTGTTGCTGTAAATTTGGCCCAGTTAGTGGCTCGAGAAAGCCAGTCAAGGTTATCTCTGAAAAATAAGTTAAAACATCATTCAAAGCTAAAATGAAATGAGGCACTAAAACTTAGACAACATGACATGTAATGTATCAGTAAGAGACTAATCTCAATACCAAAACACCCAAATATATCTGTAAGAAATGTATTTTAAAGAGTTGCTCCTGTTTCTGTCAACTACCACATTCCAACTCACCTGAGAAACTGATCAGATGTTGTGCCGCAGTGCATGAAAGAGTTTGCAATCACAGTGGCAGAATGACACACAGAGTTTCTAACTGCATCCTACAACAAACCATTGTCACATTCACCACTTAGCTTGTAGTACAGGCAATTATTCATGTGATCAGAGACGCATAAAAACATACTATACTTGCATAAATTGAGACAATTACAACCAGTTGGTTATCAAGTCATGAGGAAGTCTGAAGCCAACTTAGACTATCCAAGTATTTTGGTGTCATCATAATGTGAAGTGTGTATTAGCTCCGAAAACAACCGACACTTGTCTCACAAAGTAGTAGCTCTAATAAAATTTGAGTACAAAGTTCAACTGTTTTTCAGATGTAGAAACATCAACATATTCTTGTGTTTTTGTAAAAAATACTGAGCCGTATAGTTTCTTCTGTGTACCTTTGTGTTTTTGAGTATGAGAAGGTCAGACTTGTTGTTTTTGATGAGGAACTGGAGGTGGAGGTAGATGGTGGTCTCTCCTCCCAGGATGGTGTGGATCTTCGTCAGCTTGTCCTGCAGGAGCTTGTCACTCTCACTCTGTATAAGACAACTCTAAGTCAACAACTTAAACAATATTTCTATATCTGTATCTTTATCTATATCTTTAGATAGTTCTCCAATGTCTTAAAACATTAGCTCAATGTCACCAAAGAACACTTCCATATCACTAAACAATACATCAGAGGGATAAAACATTATATCACATCAAACACGATGGTACAACTAAACAAAAGCACCCTAGTTCAAAAGACACTCATAAACAAACAATACCCCAACACACAGTATACACACATACACTAAAAATGAAGGATAAAAAAGCTGCAACAATGAGAATGCAGCAAATGAACTGTTTAATCAGTGACAGATTACTCCCTAAAATAACACTTAAAGCAAGTATCAGGCATTTTGAAACTTCAATTAATATCAGCACCTGTTGAATCATATACTAGACCACCGTCAAGTATATGACTAGGGTGTCAGGACATACAGCCATGACTAATAATGAGAGATAGTGTAGTAACACTATAGTGTGGCCTGGCACCCTGTTGTGTTGCAGAACTTACCAGGCTGCTGATATCTGGAACCGGTGGTGCTGGCTTTGCTGCTTCTTCAGTTTCCATGGAATCTCTGTGATAAACAACAACACAGATAGGTAAAAAGCTGGTTAAAATGGGAAAGTTCAACTTGTTATCATCATCTTTTAACTCACAAAATAATTTTTTAAGAAAATAAACTTTACCATATGTCCAAAGTATACAGTTGACCAAGCAACCCATTCTGGCAAGGATCATTTCTTTCATATCAACCCGTGAAGATCCAGGTTAGAATTGGTCTTGAGTAACCCAGGCTTGTTGTAAGAAGCGACTAACGGGTGGTCCAGCTCACTGACTTGGTTGACACATGTCACTGTATCCCAATTACATAGATCGATGCTCATGCTGTTGATAACTGGATTGTCTGGTCAAGACTCGATTATTTACAGACCTCTGCCACATAGCTGGAATATTGCTGAGTGCAGCGTTAAAGAACAACCCAAACAACCAATCTCTATTATCACTGGATTGTCTGATCCTGATTTGATTATTCATAGGTCATGGTTATATAGCTGGAATAATAGATGTTAAACAGATTCTGTGCTTCATACCCTTCTTTTGGCTCCTCCTTTGTTTCCTTGCTGGTCTCCTCCTTCTTCTTGGAGGCATCAGGAGTGACGATGGGGATGGGTGCGGCAGCGCGAAGTGCAGATTGGATCTGCTGCAGGAACTGCTGGGTTGCACTCTCGTACAAGTCAAATGCTATCTGGTATGACATCAACACTGAGTCCTACAACACAAAACAATGGGTATTAGACAGTTGTGTTTATCACTGTATTGAACAGGAACGTCAGTAACGAAGTGGAAAGGTTGCAGTGACCGATGGTGTGGTATGGACATGTACCAGTTTGGTGAAACCACAAGAATATAACAACTAAGAAATCAATTAATCTAACCTCGTATTAGCCTCTTAAGACAAACATGGGTTGCTGAAGACCAATTTAGAAGCCCAAACCTTACGTCAATATTGAGTGGAGTGAGCGTTCATTTATGGAACATTTAGCAGTATTCCAGGCAAATCACTGCAGGTGACACATTACCTCAGAGCCTTGTGTGACAAATAACTTTTCTTCACTGGTAGAGTGACAAATATTCAAGCAAATATCTTGCTATTTCAAGCACAATTTTATTTGTTTTTGTTTCTCATCAAACTAATAACAACATAATCCCTCACCTCATCTCCTTTAATAAGTTTCTCCAAAATGTCTGCTACCGACTGTGGATCATCCAGGAAGATGTAGCACTGAAAGAGATGTAGAACATAGTGCCGTGAACTACACAAGCCAATTTCAATGTAATCACAACTGTAATACATGCAACATATAGTCACAGCTTAATTACAACAGAACCTTACAGCTGGTTGGACAACACAGTTGAATACAGATATTTTGCCACCCAGAATCTGAACAAACTTCCAGATAACACAGGTTGGGACACACAAGATCAGCTAAGTTTACCAACTAACCATATGCTAACATGGTTTGGTTAACAAAGTAAGGGAAGATTTCCAACTTATCAAGGTTGGGACTCACAAGATCAAGTTACAGTCATACCATGTGCTAACACAGTTTGGATTGACAAGGTAATAAGATTCAAACTAAAGTAGCTTAATTTTACACACGTTAGACAAGTCTTCCTACAGGGGTGTTAACTTCAGTTGTATCCCCAAGCTGACCAACACAGCAATCCTATATACAGCTACTGTACAGTCCATGACGTAGATGACCATCAGCTTCTTGTGGTATTTACCTGACAAACGTTAATGTAGTCCGCTGTCTCCAAACTCATGTATAGTTTAGTAAGGACCTTCAGGATGGTGCAGCGGAACTGTCTGTTCTGGATGAGGGCCATGCACACTTTGAATGCGTATGACAGCATGAATGGGATGTCATCCTGTAACAGAGCATGTCACAGTGATGGAGAACACGGTCATACAGCTGACTGTCCACACCACTAAACAGGGTCAATAAGTTTGCCTGAAACTTTCTTTGTGTTTTTCTTACACTCAATTCCTTTATCTTTTGAGCAACTGACATGCAATTTTTGGTGAATAACCACACGTATTTCATGTAAATGTACTTCTTCAATACAAAGCTAAGAATACCTCAAACTATGGAGCATGTGCAGAACTTGTTAAAAAAATATACTCATTCCCTCCCAGAATGACTGACACTTTTGTTTGTTATTGTGTTTGTTAACACACCAGTAAATAATCAAGCCTGGCCCTAAAAAATAACCTAGTGATCGATATTGTGAGTAAAGATCAACACCACCAGGGTACAATGACACCAAGCCACCCAGTTAGACCACTTTATCCATTCAGTCACCCTTATGACCAGAATAAATTGCTGGGGTACTATTCCCCCACGAAATCCTGACTGGGTAATCGCCTGAAAAATTCAACCATTGCTAATATGATCTTGTAATCCTTAAATTTGATAAGGATATACTTACAGACTTCAAAATTGACTGTTCAAATATGTCAATTCTTCTTGTCTCCAAAGAAATACCAAGAGCCTGTGAGAAAGAAAGAAACAAACAAAATATATCAAATGTTTGTTCATACAAAATCATCAAATTTCTGCATAAAAAGGTAGCTGCTCTAAGGTTTAGGCAAAACTGAGACAATGTCGCGATAACAAGTAGAGTGTTTCACAAAATATCTGCTGATTGGAAATTTCAAGAACGATGTTGAATGTGACTTCAAGAAATGTTTTACATGACTGATTGTGTACCTGTTTGAACTGCTTGTCATCAAAACATCTCTGGAACATCCTGTTGACCACAGCCTCCAGTCTGGGGTCGATAGGTTTCCTGTCCTCCTCCGAACATTCAGCATTCTCTACACACTGCTTCGTGTAATGGTCAATACACTTGGCTGTAGGTCAAACGGAAGACATGAATGAGTTTTAGGCTGCTTCTGGTAATATTCAAACCACATTATGGCAGAGTCTACAATAAATCAACTTCACATACACAGTAAACTATGATAACAACAAACTCCACCAGATCACTAATTCTAGTTTGTAATAAACAAAGTTTAATATATGCATTTCGGTTAAAATAAACAGCAAGTGGTAGAGACAAGTTCTTGATATTCATCAGTTCCTTATAGGCATGTTTGGTTTAAACACATCTTACTGTACAACATGTTGGAAGTAAACCCCAAGTGTTCAGCATGAAGGAACTGGGCTACCTCAGTATGTCTGATGAAGTTTCAATGCCTGGTATCAAAGTATGTCATTTATTTACACAACTGTAACAAATCAATAGCAATTTCAGATCAAACTTGGGGCGTTTACAAATGTATGTAATCAAAATGTAATGGCAGTGTCACCTAACCAGACTGATGACATGGAAACATCCACCTTCAACATGCTATGGTGTGTATCCGCCCACGAGTTCCCTTCACAAGATCACATTTGATGGTCCACATATCATTACATAAAATCACTGAAAACATACCTATTGTTGTTTCCACAAACTCTGATGTGTCATTGACATTGAACAGATCCCCTGCACCCAAGGCATAGGTCAAGGATTCTTCAAATGCTCCAAGATGGTAATACACCTGTAAAACAATGTTACCGTATGAGTGTGAGAACATTGGGTGGGCACAGATGTGAGCAGGTAAGTAAGCCAAATGGGTTAATCAAAGGGACAGTGATAACACTTCTGCGTTTGTCTGTAAATGATCAATCTGAACCAGACTAGATTGACATCATGAGCATCGATCTATGTTACTAGGGTACAATGACATGTATCAATGAAGTCTGCCCACCTGATCCTATTCATTGCCTCTCAAGACAAACATGGGTTGCTGAAAACAAATCTAGACAGGGTCTTCATAGGGATTGTCTTGTAGCTGATACATTTTACATTTTACAAAACTTAAAACATGGCACTCAGATTTATACAGCATGAATTAGTTAACCATATATCAAAGACAACAGTCTACACCCAGTACCCATCATGATTAAGAAGAACAAACCTTTGATGCAACAAGTGCAGCCATTTCTCGATTCTTGAAGGTGGCATCTTCATAGAGAACCTCTCTGGAACACAACATGAAGAGTTACTGTCAGAAACAAACTGATCCTCTCATTAGCTCCCAATAGCACCCAACAAAGACAATTACACTGACAATTAGAACAGGTCTGAACTCAATATTTATAGTGTGTTACAAAAGCACTTATATTTGAGTACAGTAAGCATACAGTATATCCACTTTATGTAAGTAAAGCTTCAGGCAGCTGCTGCTGCCATCATACATACTGTGATACTCCTGCATGTTCTATAATGATGTCGAATCATATATACCCATTCACTGGGATCATCATTTTACTTACTGAACATGCTGAAATGAAATACAACATTAAATCTTTCAGTCCCCCCATTGTGATCCAGTATGTTAATAAGTGAACATGTTTGAACAGCTCCTCATCCTCATAACTGATGATCTAAGATGTTTCTGCATCTTTCCTTTTGTCCTGGGACATCCATACTTACATTTTGTCAACAGATTCAGATATCTCGGCCCAGAAGACGTCAACAATCTTGTTTAGTTTATCCAAGGCAAACACCTGAAATTGAAATTAGGATATGGAATCCAAATGATTCTGCATGAGCAGAGAGTGAGGCTTGACTCTTTCATAGCATGTCATATTTCCATGGTCATACTTTAAAGTGCACGAAAAGCCTAAGTCATGCATGTCAAAGACATTTGAAACTTTGGCCAACCCACAAGAATTTCAGGCATTGAAGGTTCAGAGATCCTAATGCTGGAGATATGGAATTCAAATCTATAGATGTCCAAGGGTTGATGCTAAACAGTAAACAAATATATCAGGAAAAAAATCAAAACTTGATTAGATATCTTACACACTTCCAACTCTTGTGAAATACATCAAATTATGTTTACAGTAAACATCCTTTGATGTGGTGTGGAAGTGTGTCAATAAGAGTTGTGGATATCATCACACAACCATGAACCTGTCAACAATAGCATCAAGGTGTTTGAAATGGTGTCAGTTCTGAGTACAGGACAAATATTCAGTTTGTCTAGTTCAGCTTGCAGATAACACCTACCACCAAAGACAAGAAGTACTGTGATTTGGAATGTTGACCAGAGCTACAGATAACTTTTGGGCCATTGAGTTATGTACTGGCTTGTGTTCATCTCAATTGGGTATCCTAATTTTCCTTTGAGTAACCAAATATATTGTACCCATCTCACTCAAACTTAATTGGGTATTTTGCCCTTTTCCATTAATTGTAAAAATATATTAAAGTTTAACTGTTGGTTTACGTGTTTGTTATTTATATTTGATCTGTTATATGAGAAACGATTAGAAAGACTGCAAGTTGCCAAGTCCGGGTGCTGAAATAGAAACTCTCAATATACCTCAGTTATTTTATCTATTTTTTGTTTGTACGCATGTAACATCAAATGTATTGAGTATTTACAAAAATTTGAAGCGTACTTGTACGCAATAGACTTAATAGGAACTGAGTTTTCACATAAATATTTGCGTAATTTCCGCAGATACGCAGCTTATCTGTACCTCTGGTTGACTCTTCAATTTGGAGCAGAGTATAATGGAAGAAAAATGGATTGACTTTTGTTATGGATGCTGTGTCATATATATTACAACTAAAGTGAATTGTGCAAGTTATGTGATGAGCTTGTGTTGCCCTGTTTATCCTGATTCAAATCTGCACTGCACATTCACCCTTCGCACAAGCAACACTGTTTTCTCTATCAGAAGTCAGCAACAATTAACAAGGTAATGCTGTTTTTCAATGTTTGTTATAAATATAACAAGTAAACTCAACATAAAAAAGTAACATCTAACTAGTAAATTGAGGAGCCATGCCTCGGGTAGGGATTAACTTTGTCTACCAGTATATGTCTGTGATACTGGGTATCACTTCTATTGCATCTGACATGCATGTTGTATTAAGATGTCTGTGTCCATATACTATACATATTTGTGTTTGTGTGTACAAAGTAAAACAAGGAGTACAGTCCTTTGTAGTTAATTTTGTTATACTCCATCTTGGTTGGTTGTTTGGTTGGTTGGTTTGTTGTTTAACGCTGCACTCAGCAATATTCCAGCTATGTGGCGGCAGTCTGTAAACAATCGAGTCTGGACCAGACAATCCAGTGATCAACATTATAAGCATTGTTCTATGCAATTGGGATATAATTACATGTGTGAACTAAGTCAGCTAGTCTGACCACCCGATCCCGTTAGTCACTTCTTTCGACAAGTATGGGTTACTGAAGACCAATTCTAATCCGGATCTTCATCTAAGTGATGTAATGACCTATTCAAAAGCCCACTGTAGATTGTATGGCTCTCGTATTTATTGAATGACATAGTGTAACAAGTGGCGTTGTCAGACCACTTGACCACTCTTTACATTAATGACCTTGGACCTTTTCAGTATCAAGATCAACCTTTCAATATTTGGACTGGGGTAAGCCACTGCAGGAAAGCTTCAAACAGTCATAAGGATGCAGTGCCAAACTAAATTTCTATAAAAACTCATTTTCTCATGATCAGCATCATGTTGCAGTTCTGAATAGATTATCATAAGACAATATTATTACCATGATTACCAAGTCAGAATTTCTTACCTTGAGTTGCGGTTCCTGTTCATCAAGCAGAGACAGAACTCCACCTACAAGCCAATAAATAACATCATCAAAGTGTTGAAAAACAAGCTGAGTTCTGGGGTTTTGGCATTTTCTTAACAGGATATGTTTGGAAAAAGGCCATGTGACACAAAACAGAACATACTGAAAAGATCAATAATAACAAGTGCATCCATAAAAATGTAAACTGTGAAATGCAGAGGCTGAATTAAACATTATGTAATTTGAAAGTCCTATAAATAATCTAAGTTGCAACCTTTAAAAATGAAGAGGTTCCAGACTCTCTAGATTGATATTTGTTCAACCCTGAAGGGTGCTTCAACATCTCTTAATTAAAAACAGGAACACTGTGAAAACACATGCTGGAGCATTAAATACTGCAACACCCCTTGATTGGCAATTTATTGCTCCAACACCTCTGTAATCACCTGTGAATAACTAAGAAGGTTCATCACCTTTTCACCCCAATCTCTTATCCCCTAATTAGCAGTGATAAGCATGATTAGTTTTGATGTTTACATAACAACTATCCTGTGTGCTTGATGTTTTGTGTAAATTTATGAGACACACAATATATTTTGGCTAGTGTCTATTGCCTTTTTGAAATAAACTGTGCAGGTAGACATTAGTAACATATACAAAATAGAAAGTGGACATCATATACTACCCATCAAAAGTTTAGATTCATTAGTGCAAATGTAGCCACTTACTTCAGTCAACTGTTCTAAACTAGATTTTGCAAAATATTCCATATTGTATAAAGGTACTGTTTACACATGACCTGATGTATTGTAAAACAAATTCGTAACTTTGAAAAGATTATTGTCATGAGTTCAATAAATGAAGAAAATCATGAAATTTGGTGAATTCTTAACAAACTTTACACCAAAATGCAGCTGTTTACATGCACAATATTTGCACATGCTCTTCAGCATTTTGATGCATAATCCTCGTGCAATTCATCTGCATAAGGTTTGCAGTTGGTTCCCCCAAGTTTGTGGAAAATTCATCTTCGATGTAACCATATATACAGTGGAAACCTGATAAGTAAAATTTCAAGGGACTCGCCAAAATTGTTTACTTGTCAGGTATTTTACTTATCCAAACTTATAAAAACCTGCAAATGACAACCATATGCATGTATATGTATGCATATGTAACAATGAACAACTTATCAGGGCTGGCCTCCAGTTGTCAGCGTATTGTCAACTGCTTGACGCCAGCGAGCTGTAAGTAGGATGTTTGTTTGACTGGAGACTGACACGACTGCCCCTCATGTCGGATTATGTGGTGATCGCTAATTTAGTTATCCAGTATCTTTTGTTAAGTAATTTACTTCCAGGGACCGTGAGAAGACGTTTAGTTAAGCGGTATTGTTTACTTATCCGAGTTTAGTTAACCGAACTCTAATAGTGATAATTAATGACGAAATTTGCCGGGACCAAAGAAAAGTGTTTATTTATCAGGTCTGTTTAGTTAAGCGGTGTTTACTTAGGCAGTTTCCACTGTATATGCATAACATATAGTGAGTGCTTTAAGTCAGTCTAAAGTTTTGATGGATAGTATACAATTATATGACAACCAATAAAAAACATTGATAAACAATGATTGCTTTCAATACATTAAGTTACCTTGGTTTTCAAGTTGAGGTTTGTTGATAAAGTATTTTAATACAGGACACACTAAATGTTTTTTCACTTTAAGGTTAAGACAAAAGACCCTTGACTTCCACACTGTTGACGTGGTTATACCCATACATGTACATGTTCACACAGATAAATCTGTTTGGCACAAGTTGTACTTTGTTAAGTAAAAGGAGGCAAGTCTAACCAATAATTACAGAATGATGTGATATCAGGGCTTCAGACAATTTAAGTTTCTGCTTATGAAAATGACAGGTTTTGTCTAAAAAAAACAGACAAATTTTCACAATCATTATTCTCATGCTGCTCACTGCAAATACTTATAACATGTACATTTATCATATACATGTCTTCAGTCATCCATAATTACAACTGGCAATGATTACTTTCATTAAATACAATATAATTTAAAGGTTCACCCGTATCAGTAATCCCCCATTCTCTGGTTCTCATTCAGTTACCAGAATATTCTTTCCTTTTTGTCTCTACACTGGAGTACTAAAGTCACATGGCTACAATATTTGTACAACAAAGGTATTGTCTCACTCTGAATTAATTTTGAACATTTTACTGAAGAGCAAGAGACAACCATTTCTATTCCAGGATCCATCGTCTCTAGAATTAGCGCCAAATTTAATTGATTTGAACCTCTACGTGGTGGCATAACTAATATTATCTACTGAACTTTAACTCATTCATTCCAAAATGAAAAATAAAATGATGTGTCTGATTCTATGTCGGATACAGTGGCTATAGTGTGTCATGAAGATTTCTTTTTGAGTTTGGCGGTTACACTGTCATTTATAACATTTTCGCATAGATATTTGCGTGTACACAATCATCTGTATGACTCGTGACTAAGCGAAATTGGAATTTTGAGTGCGTACTAAGGACGTTTTCATTGATATACTGGAACCAGAAACAGTTGTCGATAATTTATTACAAGTGGAGACATTGGCATGTGATGAGACGTTACCTGCTGAAGTAATATTCATCTTCATCCCGACAGTTTTCAATAAATAACCATGAAACGCTTTCACAAGTCACTGTTGTTATTCCCGGCGTGAGTAAAGCGGAAGTTCATAACATACTAGTATCCAAACGACTAATGTTATTATGCTCGATTTTATTTTAATAGAGGCAATACTTCACAGTATGCATGGATTTGAATATTAGGAAATTAATTTATTTTATATTTACAACATAATGCAAAGAACATATGAACGAAAGTTCAACTGATGCTATGTATAGTTAACAAGTCTGAACAAGATAATTGTTAGTCATTTTGAAAGTACTATATTTTGTAATACCGCTATCAGCGAGATTACCGTAACAATATAATTTTTCTGGCAATCAAAAATAGAATATCCACATCGTATGTAATGCATCATAATAAAATGAATGAAAACAATATTCCACATATAAATACATATACTGGTTCTGTAAATAAGTACTTTTAAAAGTACGCTTTATTACAAAACACCCCTCGGAATATAAAAACGAATATAGAACTTAAAACAAGAACGGCAATCGTGTGAGTAGCATTTTTCTTTCACCAAAGTATTATACTGCGTAATAAGATGAATTAATTTGCAATATTCGGACTTATTTTTAACATATGTAAATATGAAGTCGTCTTCATAGATCTAGTCAATATATCAGAGTTTGTTTTTGTAATGGGTATTTTTCATTACTTCAATTCAATCTAGTTATTTATCACTTTCTTTGCATCAGGCCTTTGTGTACAGAGGATTACGGTCAAGTCGGAATTACAGTTAAAAGTGCATATGTGCATAGTACCGATATTTTCTCAAGCTAATAGTAATGTTTGAGTTCTGCGACGAAATGTAAGTTTTAAAGTTATGGATGTAAAAATAAAAAAGTGCGTGAATGAGTATGCAATAGGCTTTTAGCAATATTCCAGCAATATCATGGTGGGGGACACCAGAAATGGGCTTCACACATTGTACCCATGCAGGAAATCAAACCCGGGTCTTTGGCGTGACGAGCGGACGCTTTAACCACTCGGCTACCCCACTGCCCCTATGATGTTTTTTTATGGATGTGAAATGGAGAGGTTAACAAACATGCTCCAGATACTGGACAGATCATAACCAATTGCGAAATCATGAAAGTGAAGAAATTGGATAAAATATCATCAAACTTAGCGTTAATGTACACTACTTGTATTTTAACAGAAAACGAAATTCAGTTTAAACACAGTTTAAGTTAAAGTTTACATTTCTTGATGCATTGAAGTGAATCCCACTCACAATTTCCAAATCATAACAACTTGAGCGAAAATTAGAATGAATTTGCTTAGTTTGAACAATGAATTTAGCATGATAGCGTATTTCCACTAGCAAGTATATGTTACTTCATCAGATTTTTGGGAAATAGTCTTTTAAATGTTACTGAATCATATATTTTTTTTAAATTTCAATGGCTTTATTGCCCGAAAGTCCCTGTTACAAGAATGAGGATCACCTCCAGGGTAATAGTGACTGTCATTTGTAAGGTACGCAGTGTTACTGGTGGACAAACTGACATTTTCTAAAAGAAAAGAAAAGAAAACGCCCCCAAAAAAAAAAAACACCACAAAACAAACAAAACAACAAAAAAAAAAAAAACAAAAACAAAAACAAAACAAAAACAAAAAACCCACGCAAAAAAACAACAACAACAAAAAACAATACCAAAAAACAAACAATACAAAAACAAAAACGTTCGCACTCACTGTCATACTCTACGGAAGCGCTGAAGGGACCTGATGAAATGAAATTTATCTTGAGCGCAGGAGTTAGTATGTTTAGTACGGAAGCGCTGAAGGGACCTCATGAAATAAAAATGATCTTGAGCGCACAAGTTAGTATCTTGAGCGCTCAAGTTAATATCTTGAGCACACAAGTTACTTATCTTGAGCACAGAAGTTACTTATTTTGAGCGCACAAGTTAGTTATCTTGAGCGCACAAGTTAGTATCTTGAGCGCACAAGTTAATATCTTGAGCGCACAAGATACTAACTTGTGCGCTCAAGATATTAACTTGTGCGCTCAAGATATTAACTGCGTGCTTGTGCGCTCAAGATAACTAACTTGTGCGCTCAAGATAAGTAACTTGTGCGCTCAAGATATTAACTTGTGCGCTCAAGATACTAACTTGTGCGCTCGAGATAACTAACTTGAGCGCTCAAGATATTAACTTGTGCGCTCAAGATAATTTTTATTTTATGAGGTCCTTCAGCGCTTCCGTACTTCCGTACGGAAGCGCTGAAGGGACCTCATGAAATATAATTTATCTTGAGCGCACAAGTTAGTATGTCAAGATATTAACTTGTGCGCTCAACATACTAACGTGTGCGCTCAAGATACTCATACTGTTGCGAGTTTAAATTAAACAGCTAGCTTTAACTATGTTGCTGAATCATATTTAGAACTACACAGTTGCTACCATACATTTTGAAATAGCCACATATCTCCAAACCCAATTAAACACTGACAACGTTTTTGTTGGTAAACGATTTTTTTCGATATTTAACGGATACTTTGTACATGTCGTTACAACATATGCATACATAAATGGAACATATACCACACTTTCCTAACATTGCTGTGGTCAAAGCCGACAGTGTTATATTGAATACTTTACATTTGTCGGCCTGTATCAAATTTAAAAAAATTCATTCTTTAAAACAGTACTGTTTTTGACGTAACTCTTCGACATACAAGAGTCCTAGCTTGGGTGGGTTTCTAAGACTCCAGTCCTGTCCCACAGGGAAGCACATGTGACATATGTGGTCTCACAGTAGGCAAGTGCGTTTGTTAAAATTGCCTCTGTTCACATACACTGATGATTGAAAAGGGCAGATGGACTACACCTAAAACACCATTACACGATCGCTTGTGTGCCTTTTGTGTGAACGATCTTGAAGATGAATACCATATCTTGCTCATTTGTCCAAAATATTTAAGTATAAGAAATCGTTATCTACCAAAGCATGCCATTGCCAGACCAAGTATGATAAAGTTTGTGAACATGTTACAAACTAGTAATGTACAACTATTGATTAGTATTGCTAAATGTGTTTATCATATCTTTAAAATGGAAAGTACAATGAATATGCTGTAATTATTTACTCTTGGGTTACCATCCCTCATTTCTCTGTTAAATTATTGTATATCAAACTATATATGTATACATCCACAAATACCCACGACTGTGCAATCATGCAACAGTTTTGTAACCGTTGTTTTTGGCCCATGGCCTAAATAAACCTTCTGTCTGTCTGTCTGTTAAAATTGCTTCTGTTCACCCAGCAGTTGATGGGTACCCGGTGGGATAAGTGGGTCGTATGACTCTTAACCTTTCAGCGACACACACGCAGCTTGGGTTAACAGCCACATTTATGGATCGCGATATTCGTGGAGCTGACGGATGATACATATAGACCATGTAGAAAATTAATATAGTATAAAAATGCTAATATAATATTCACAAAGATTTGAATGCTTTTCATCTAATTTTTTTTCTAAATACCAAACCCTATTAAACATTCCAGAAATAGAGGCAAAGCTTGCACACACGCCATTTATTCACTAGCAGTGACAGAATATGTAGCGATCCTTGTAAATATTTACTGAATCAATCATAACCATTTTATCTTATTTTCCATGTAGAGGTTTTCAGTATGTTATTGTTGACTGGTAAAACTTAACGAACGAAGCTGATATCCATTTTTTCACCCATAATGTGTGCCACTTCTGAATGTCACGTAGAGAGAGTTGAACACAAGCACACCCTTTAATGTGCGCTGATTTCCTGGGGGAAAGCGGGCAAAGGCGCGATTGTTGTGAAACTTTCATCTGAGTCTGACGAATGAATAAATCTCCATTATATATTTGTTTTAGATACACGTGTGTGCTTGTCTACAACAACAAACAGTTAACAGGAGACAAGAGGAATGTGTGAGTTTAGTTTTACGCCGCTTTTAAGATCATTTCAGTAGTATCACGGAAAGGGGCACCAGTAATTGGCTTCACACTTTGTACGCGCGTGGATCGAACCCAGGTCTACAGCGTGACGAGCGAACGCTTTAACCACCAGGCTACCCCAACAGGAGATAAGAAGGGCCCAGCTGCAGGTAATGTAAGGGCATCCATTCATGTATGCACCACAACACTGCAGGTTATGTTTTGCCTGGCAGTTTGATGAACTGACCGGCAACGAAGAATTTTAAAAATGGTTAAAATGAAACATACAAGATATGGTTCATCGTCGGTGACGTTGTCGCAGTATTTTGAAGTGTCTCAAGTTTTCAATGTTTCGACGATTGCTTTAACCCATTAAAGGTTTTAAAATGATTGTAGTTAAATCAATTTTTCAAGTGTATGTTTTCATTTCCCAGGACCAGTCCAACCATTGATGTGGTTTAAGTCATCACTCGAAACTTTTACTTTTTATTGACAGTTCTTTTCCGAGGAACACTTTTTAAAGAAGTTATCTATTCATATTGCAATCGATGCGACGTTTCGGTGTAGATTTGCTTGATAACGGTGTTAGGATCTACCCTGAAACATCGCATCGATTCCAATAAAGAAGTTGTCTGTCCATAACAAGTGTTCCTCTTCATCATACCAGCTTCTAAATGCCATCTAAAGAAGTTGTTCACAGCTACCAAGAACGATACAGAAGTCAAAGTGAAGATGAGTGTATTTGTTCCGAAGCGAACCGAGAGTGACCTTTAAATTTGTAGGGACCATAAGCAAGAGAGGAAATATACCTCTCTCCATGTTCTCATTTTGACTGTGTCTGTTATGTTTTCAATAAAATGTGAGGATCACAAATGACTTCAGCGACTATATCTGAAGCTGACAACATATTTTAGATTCAAATCTTTAAATACAAGCCTGGGAGATGGGGTTTCGGCACTCACACACGGCTATCTTCACATGATGAGAACCTCATGGCGGCGATGATGATGATGATGGTTTGAAAGCAGAGGATCCTTAAAACTTGAAAGTACACTCTTCATAAAAAGAAACGCACAAGCAATTTTAGAAGACTTTAAGTACGTTAGTTTAAGAG